CCCTAATGTGATGACTTTGACGTCGTCGGTCAAGGTATATTCTTTACTTCATATCAAAATTTCAACTGTCAGTTTTTCCGTTAAATGGACCACCAAATTTCGCCTCGTTAATTTAAATTTTTGTATAGAAAGCATGTTTTCAACTGACTGAACGAAGTTGTCTGTTCAGATGAGGTTTATCTATCATTTAAAATGGTTGCTAGCTGTAAGTCCTTACTTTAAATAAAATTGTCGGTAGCTCCTTGTCTAATAGCGGAATATTCAGAAGAACCGATTTTGTCTTCAGTAGATAGGTAGTCGTTGTTTTTTGGATATAACTGATTCAGCATATCCTTGATTCAATTCGTAATTTTTTCAAATTGTAAGATTTATGTTGAATTCTTGAGCCAAGATATTATTAGACTCTTCAGTCTCCAGTCAGCAACATGTATAGACTTTTTCTTATTTCTAGAACTTTTTGCTCTTCGTTATTCTTATTAAACTACTAAACATAAATATAATTTTACACTAAGAGTGGGAATGGAATTGGCCCTATAAATGTGATTCTTAAATTGAGAACGAATGAAATAAAATATTTCCTCAATAAGTGATATATAATACGAAGGTTTTTAGGAGTTCAAATGTCACTTATATACGATCATTTTTTCTAAAAACTTAGAAATCGAGTCAGTAAATCCAATCGTTATATCTATTCAAAATCACATTATAAAAGCCATCTGAATCATCGAACATGGTGTTTTTTTAGGTCCATGTAACTGGCCCGGCACCTATGGAATTTTGAGTTAAAACCTGTGTCAATATTTAGTACCTAATATGTACTAATTTGTACCCCAAAAATTATAATTAGTACCCGTCAGGGACCGAAGATATAAAGCTCGCAAAAGTGCAGTGACAGGAAGTTCCATGTCCCTGGCTGGCACCTATGGAATTTCGAGTTGAAACCTATGCCAATATTTAGTACCTAATTGGTACTAATTTGTACCCCAAAAATTATAATTAGTACCTGTCAGGAACCGAAGGTATAAAGCTCGCAAGAGTGCCGTGACAAGAAGTTCCATGTCCCTGGCCGGCATTAATGGAATTTCGAATTGAAACATATGCCAATATTTAGTACCTAATTGGTACTAATTTGTACCCTAAAAATTATAATTAGTACCCAGGGACAGGAGATATAAAGCTCGCAAGAGTGCCGTGGCAGGAAGTTCCATGTCCCTGGCCGGCACCTATGGAATTTCGAGTTAAAACCTATGCCAATATTTAGTACCGATTTCTATCACAAAAATTACAATTTCATGGTCAAATGACATACAGAATATTAATATCAGGTAGATACCATCTCCACTTAACTGGGCTTAAATGAAAAAATTCTTAATATTTCTTCATCTAAAGTACTTTTAATTTGGTTTATTTTGAATAATTAACTATCCCTCATTGTTAGCAGGGATAAAGAAAGATTGAATATAAACTATTTAATAAATTATTTAAGAATATTTACATAGATAAATATTTAAGAAATAGTTCTATTGTTTAAACCACCGAAAATACCACACAAAGTTGCGAAAACTGAATCTTTAACTATTATTTTTAGAACTAAAATTCATTGAGATAATTATTAAAACTCCTTGGGGAGCTATCAAAACTTTGTGCTGTCAAAAACAAAAGTGCCCTCCCCCTCCCAAATTAAAATTTTTGTGATTGTGTTAAATTTTTATAGCCCCCCTAATAGTTCTAGAGTTATCTAATATTTAAAAAATCATTCTGTTGTTTTTTTAACCAACTAAAATACCACGCAAAGTTATGAAAAAATAAAATTCCATTTTGTGCAACTTACGATTCTTATAACTTTTAATAATAATTTTAGAGCTAAAGATCAATAGAATAATTGTTAACATTCTTTTGGGGGCTATCAAAACTCTAATAAAAAGGAATGATTGATTTCTCCAGAGCCTCCTCCCTCCCCCCCCCCCAAAAAAAAAAACTTTCCCCCCAAAGTAAAATTTTCTTATTTATTTTTGGAGTTTTGATAACCCCCGTAATAGTTCTAGAGTTCTCCAATATTTTAAAAAATAACTCTATTGTTTAAACCACCGAAAATACCACTCAAAGAATTGAAAATATTTTTTGCAAATTGTGAGGCTTATATCTTTTTTTTGGTCAACTTTAGGGCAAAGGTTCATTATATTTATTTTTAGAATTCTTAGGGGGCCCATAGCAAAATTCAACAGAACTTCTGAAATATAAAATATCCAAATTCTTGTAAATGTTAAAAAGTTAACAAGTGTATTGACAGTAGAAGCAGGTTCCCCCGCAACCCCAAGAGATATTGCCTCGTAATAAATATTTCTAGTTTCAATTCTTAATTCATCGATTCTTGAGATCGATGCGTCTTCAAGAATTTTCGTTAATGATTTAGCCTCCCTAATTAAACCTTGAAATTTATCATATATGCCGTCTAATTTAGACAGACGCGCCTTAAATAAATTTATCCTATTCGAATTTTTTAAACAATCGATACCAATATCTCTTGTTTCTGTTATATCTTTGGCTAATTCCCCTAATTCATCTTCAAGGTCAGCCAGATGAATTTTATCTTTATCTGTTTTGGGCCCCATTGTTTACCTTTGACCTAACCTATAGTAGAAAAAATATAAATATCACTCAATTTTAATATTTCAAAATAAATGTTTAAATCCGGCCCGGACTGGACCAATTTATGTTAGCTCCCTCTTAGTTTATGTCAAACTTCGAATGAAGTCTAACTATTTAATTGTGATTTAATAAAAGGAAAAAAAAAAAGAAAGAAAGTGGACTCAATCTTAAAACATTTATTTTGGAACATTTACGAAATCTAATATTGAAAACATAAAAACAAAATGAGTCAATTTTACACTTGTTAGATAGGTAAAAAAAAAATAAAAAATAACAAACTTCTAGAATAAAATAAAGACCAGCTGAACTAACAATTGTGACAATATTAATGAAATATTTTCATACTTGATCATAAAAAAAAAATAAAAAAACTATTTCTATGGCCCAAATTACAATAAAAATAATAATAAAAAAAAACAACTTCTCTAGAGTCCCAATACGAAATTTATATATATATATATATATATATAATATATATATATATATATATATATATATATATATATATATATATATATATATAATTAGATAAGTTAATAAACCGTTAATAGTACGTTCATAAACCTCTGTCTCTATGCAGAAACCAATTGTAACTCTTCAATGAGCGTGCTCAAAACGAACTGCAAATGAGCAACGGCGAGCACGACGAGAGAAGTATGTCTCTTCACAGTAGAACTGCAGTGGGCAGGGTTAAAGTTGGCAGTACTCAGCTCAGTGACGGACGGAGTCAGACTGTCTATTGTCAATTCTACCGCCTTATGACTTGAACCTAGCATTTGTTTATAGCTAGTGCTACAATCCATAACAAAGTAGTCCAAGTATAAACTATTGGATGGCCTGTTTCAGGAGATTTTCGATTTTGGGGTTGAAGTGCAAAAGTGTGCTGATTCTGTTAGGCTTCGAAACAAATACTATAAAGGAGTTACAATCGCTCAAGATAGTTAGGCAGTCCCTGAGAGAAAAGTCGTTTGAGGATTGGTGCAAATGCAAATGGCAAGGAATAGGTGTGCCCCATTGTAAGTCAAACCAATGGGCTAACAAGTTTATGTGTGACAGGAAGATTTCAACGCATTTCTCCACTCCACATTTCATTCCACTCACATACATTTCTGTTTATTAAAACAGGCTCGGAGTGGAGAAATGCGTTGAAATTAATTGTCAATTATGTTCCTTTTCGTGGAGTTCCTGGGGCCGGGCATTAGGCAAATGGCGATGTTGGACCCCTCTGTCACAAATGTGGCCGAGGGTCAGAAAAACCAGCTCTTCTATGTACTGGGCAAATATCCGAATAACATGCTCCTTATAACTTGTCATGAATAACACCCGCCAACACAATAATGTAAAGCATTGAATTGCTGAATTCCTGGAGGCAAAAAAGTATAGATGCTTCCTGGAAGTGTATTGCGTTGATACGGAAGAGATCCGTAGATATCTTAGCCTTTAATGTGAAAGGAAAAGAGTTCCGATAGTTTATTCTACTATTAGATTTGATGAGGATGTGGATGAAGATGTTAAATTACAAAAAGAAAAGAAGGTAACCTATAAAAAATGTATACCCTACCTACAGGAGAAATATAAAAAAGAATTTGATGAGACAGAATATTTGGTTTGGGGGCTATAGTCTGGGAGTAGAGGAGTGATTCCACCTTCAACTGCTGATTTTTTGGAAGAGCTGGTTGTGGAAAGGAGCCATCTACAGATTATGGCAGAATCTATTATTTTAGACTCATTAGGAATCCTACACCACCACCTGTATTAATTCTGGGTACTTGTGAACTCTGCAGAAAAGAATGAGAGGGAAGAAAATGAGAAGAAAGTTGTAAAACTGAATGAATAAATTATAACATTCGGTATGCTGGATGATGGTCCCTAATACTTTGTCCTATTTGTTCTCTTTTATTAAATAGTATCGATTGAGCATTATTAATACACAGTTTAGCGGCCGTATAATTTTATTGTGCTACTAAGAACGTTGATACCCTCAAGGAAGGATTAAGTGCAATTATTATTATTGAAATCAATATAAATTGTTAATTAAATATATTATCTGATTTGTACATATTAATTGTTACTTAAACATAGTCATTATAAAGTATGGAGCTTCACATATTTTGTGTACTGAATTGACTTTCTTGATAATAACACATTCTTTATGCAAATAAAAATTTTTTGCTAAACTTCAAACATATTGAAGAGAAGGATATATATCTAATGCATGAGTTCTTGTACAGGTTCATTTATATTCTTTAAAAAAAAATACTATTTGAAATATATCAATATTTGAATCATGATTTGATTGTTATATATTAAGTAACCACAAGCTGTATGTAAATAACCAATATAAATTGCAGTTTAGCTGAGAAGATTGTTGATACCTACAAGTTGTGCTCTGAACAACTTTCTTCACAACCCCACTATGACTACGGTATGAGAGCTGTGAAGACAGTTCTTACTGCAGCTGGAAATCTAAAACGAAAATATCCTGACCAAGATGAATCTGTAATTGTTTTACGAGCTATCATTGATGTTAACCTTCCAAAGTTTTTAGCCCAGGTAAAATTAAAATTTCCAATTTTAGAAGTGGCGGATGTTTATTTATAGACAATTTCAAACTATGGAGGTATTTTCATTAAGTATCAGGAATAGTTAACAGTAAGAAATATGTGTGTGTTACATTTGTGATATCCATATATTTGTCTTTCTTTGTGGCATATTTGTCATTATTCACTTTCGTATAATTTGCATCTTTCTTCTATTTTTTATAAAAAATTTTATTCAGTTTAAATATTTTAGATTTTTTTTTGTCTTCCCCTTCCTTGTCTTTTGGGCTATACAGGGTACTCTTAGGCCAGGGAGCGGAGAGCAGGGGATTAAGACCAGAGTTAAAAGCTCCCCCTCCCACCGTTCACTGGGCCGGACCTTGTAATTATGTTATCAAATCATCTTATATCAGGTTGCTGGGCAACATGGTCATCTGCACATGTGTTAGCCTGCTCCGCTACCCTGTCCTGATCAATTTAGATTGCAAAAGGTGAAGTAATTTTAATTTCCAGATATTTTGTATGTATTGACTACTTTGAAAAAAATCAAATACAAGTTTTCAACCTCCTTATCTTTTGCATTTTTTGCCATCTTGAAGAAACTACTAAGAAAAAGTACTTTTTCACTTTTCCTCAGTTACATATTTCCAGCATACTTTAGGTAATAAGATTTATCAAGTTTACCTTATATTAAATTTTGTGCATGTTTCATCAGAAAATTTAATATAATGGAAGATGCATAACAACTATACCTTTTTCAAGAGAATAAAAATAGTTGTTTTTGTTTAGATAACTTTGTCTGAGATATATCAATCTAGATGTGATAGGTTTACGCTGAAGGGAGATGGGGTAGTACGTTGATGTTTGTTCTATTCCGTATAATTCGAGCAATGAGCATTGTGATTATAGGAACTTTAATTTTTTCTCATAATCAGGCCCTACTTCAAATTTCCTGAAGAATCATTGATGCCTTATTTGATTTATAATGGCATAGTGTCTGCTAAAAGTGCGTAAAAAGCAATATTTTTCATTTTATCAAATACAGCTTGTACATGATTGTAATTATTTTATGACGATCTTGCTGTGATATTAGTTTTTCAGAAAACGTTTTTGTTCTTAGATAATAGCATGCAATTTCTCAACCAGTAGAGTATCCTTGAAACTAAATAATTCTAGTTGAGCCTTGAAACTAAAAAAATAAATAATTTTAAATAATATATACCCAGATAAAAGTACGTTAGTAAATTAAAACTATATAAATAGATTAAAAATATATACAATGGTTAAAAAATGTCATCACGTTAAAATTCAATAAATAGTTTAAGAATATATACGTTGATTAATTAAAGTGAATGAGTTAAAATTATATAAATAGTTTAAAAAATATAAATAAGATCAAATAGTGTCAACAGGCTAAAATTAAATAAATAGATTCAAAATATATATGTGAATTAATTAAAGTTAAAATTATATAAATGTTTAAAAATATAAATAAGATCAAATAGTGTCAAGAGGCTAAAATTAAATAAATAGATTCAAAATATATATGTGAATTAATTAAAGTTAAAATTATATAAATAGTTTAAAATTAAAATACAGATCAAATAGTGTCAGTAGGCTAAAATTAAATAAATAGATTAATGATATTTAAAATATATAAATACATGATCTAATTAATTTGAATGAGTTAAAATTATATAAATAGATTTAAAAAATATTTAACTACATATACAGATAATGTATGTATGTGTGCGTCACAATAATGGTCAAACAAATATATATTCATAGCTACAAAAGTGTATTCTTAAAAGACGAAGAGAAAAAAAACAAAACAAGGAATCTAATAAATAAAATAATCAATCCACAACAAAGTACGTCAGGCTCCTTCGATGATAGCTAGATTGATTATGTTGAACTGTTTAGATGACACTGATCTTGCTGGTGATATCTTGGCTCCTACACTCCTAATATTAAAATAAAATAAAATATTTCATACACTAAAACACCTAAACTTTTTTTTATATAATAAAGAGAAATCAAAATTTGTTATGAGAATGGAATATTCAAATATCGTGGTGATATATATTGCCAACATTTCTCAGGTAGTATGTTGCTTTTATTTACATGTTAAATCTATTAGAGTTCAAACACAGTTAAAATAGTAGGATTAAAACTAATTGTATCTTTAACCAATTGTTATGTATATTGTAATCATCCTAAGGCTATTTTATTATGTAGCTGGTAGAGTTTTAAGAGAAGTATTTATCATAACATAGACACAGAAACTAATAATAATATATTTATATGATTACAATTAACCGTTATTTCAATATTTAATAACCGTTCCATTGTTAAATTTCCTCTCTGCTGGCCAGTATCAACCCTCGGTCTGACAGCAGGATCATTTGAGGAAGAGTTTGTGGATGTTTCTTCCCATTGGGTGAGCGACCTCATGGGGTTCTTTTCGGGTTTTGTGACTGTATATTTTTAAGATTTCTCCCACAGAACATGGAGAGTTGAGATGACTGCCATCGACCTTAGATTAGGCTGTTTCTTCGAGGTTTCGATATTTCGTATGTGGTGTTTCCCAACCTTATAACATATTAACTTATAACATAAAAATTGACCGGTTCTGGTAACTATTTCCTGGTTACTTCTTTGTTTGAATTATTCAATTGGTGAGTGTTAACCCATACACATCGTCCTGAAATGTGTTCAGTAGCTACTTCAGTAGTTTGTTTGGAGTGGTTGCTCTGCCTTTTTTAAGTTTTGATTGTTCTTTCTATTTCCATTTCAAGAGTGTTACCTAAGTTTTGTAGTTTAATGGAATATGTAAATACAGGAACAAATGTACCTTTTGTTTGATAATTTGTAGGTTTTGTTCTATTTTGATTATTGATCATAATTCATGGCTGAAAGTTAAGTATGTGGGTGTAAAAAAGTAAAAACTCATGGCACATTTGATTGCATGTGTGTTATGATGGTTTTTCAGCTGCATAGCTAACTGAGTTTTTAAAACTTTGTTTTGTTGTGTGACAGAATTGACTTCTGGACTGTACAGCTGTATGAATTTCTGTTCTATTCACAAAATGGAACCAACATGTTTCATCAGCCTGGTGATAAATTGTGTTATCCTATCTGAGATGATTTCACACAGTATCAGCTGAGGTAGTATAAAGATATTAAGAGTAGTGGGAACTACGCTATCCAATGTGAAGCCTTATTATCTTTCACTAGGATCCATTTTTTTTTTTCCTGCATTTGTTGTCAGTAAAGATCTAAAGAGGTCGACTACCAGTGTTTTGAAACCTTCTGCCACTGGTGTAGTATGAATGAGTTCCTGTGTAGGAATAGAACATTTCACAGAACGAATTCCACCACCAGAACTGTTTGGAATAGAACGAGACCCTAGGAAACTTTATTTCACTGGAATGTAATCTAAGAGCAGAATGTAAACGTCTTTAGGTTTCAATTTTTTTTTACTTTATCAGCTGATAGTCCAGTCTGACGTGCGTTAATCAACACGTCAACTATTGAAAAAATTTGTTGGCATGGAACCAAAGTGTCGACTATACTCAACATTTCTTAGGCAATGATTTACAAATTAGGGTAGTTGTTATACAGACCAAACCACCACTTAATAGGATGCCCGTTGTCTAAAGTATCCTTTTATGTTTAATTCAATGATTCCCTTTGATTCAGTTGTCATCAATGTTCCTAGAATGTCAAGTTTTTTTTTTCTCTCATTTTTCTGTACTTCTAACCGCTATCATCATTTTCGTCTGCCTTAATGACTTTTCTGTTGCTTAAAATAATTTTAGTATTACGCATATTTGATTCATTATTATCTATCTCGTTTCAAGTGTTGTTCGAAATGAAGATAGAATGGAACGAATTGCAGTGGTGGAATGTTCTGTTCCGACCTATGGTCGGAATTGCCCATCCATATTCTTGAGGCTTCTGATTAGTAGGCTTAAGATGTTGATACTCAACTCAATTCTTTATACAGGGTGTCCCGTAAGTAGAGGAAAATATTTAAAAGGTTGATAGAAGACATCAAGATCTACAAAAAAGTTAATATAAACAATTGCCCAATTTCCAGCAGAAAAGCAGGAAATTTAAGATTTGTGTTTTTTTAAGCGGGTCATGTTTATTGTTGAATAGGAAGCGATAATTTGAATTAAGTAATTAGACATTGCTCCATAGTGAACTAGAAAAAAATTGCTTTAAAGAACAATAGAGTTAGTCATTGTTAAAAATATTTAAAGAGGACTTTTGAGCGACTAAACACAGCTAAGTTCCGTTTAAAACAAAGTCATAAATTATGTGTGATTTTGCAAATACACTCTTTTACAGGACTACATTTATCCCACTTTTACAAAAACTTTCTCATTTAATAAGCTTTAAGTCCATATTAATTAAGTTGAAGTTTGTTAGAAAAAATTTGTAATTTCCTATCCATATTTTCTGCTAAAATGATTACAATTAACTGTTGAAATTCTTTTATTTCTTATTTTCCTGTGATATGGGATCTATTGTAATAAATATAATTGCCTAAAAACCAATTTTATTTATAAATATGAAAAATTGTAAAAATAATGTTTTTTAAAATATTTTTCAAGTAAATTGGTTATGAAACTGTTTTTCTCCCAGATCTCCATCATAGGAATTGGTATGTATTTATCAGTTCTTACTCAAATTTACATTTAAAATAAAGAAACCTTCTGAACGCTTTAATTATTTTTATGAAACCTAAATATTAGGGTTAGAAACAGTATGTTTGTCACTTATATATACACATTAATTTCTATGAGAGAAATCTGGAAGAAAAACACAATTTCATAACCTCCTTACATGAAAAATGTTGGAAACATCATTATTTTTATATTTATAAATAAAATCTGTTTTTGGACAATTAAGTTTATTACAATACATCGCATATCATGAAAAAAAATTAAATAAAAGCTTTACTACAGTTTATTATAGTCATTTTTGCATAAAACATTGGTACTT